AATTAAACTTAGTCACGAAATGCATCTGCATTTTGATTCGTAATCGAGAATAGATGTAGATGTCTATGGGCCGCAGCAAACACTTACCATCAGGTGGACTGTGTGCTCGTTTGTCACCCTTATCCTATAAAAAAAGAAACGATAGTTAAGTGGCTAGTCAAAAGACATACAATTGCCTTCAAATAAATACTAAGCAATTTCTTTATTTTCTATATCAGTTCATAAAAGTCTACAGCTGGTCATGTACCCCTCTTGTAGTCCAAACAAAAAACGCTCTATTTGCATCAATCGCCCTTGCAGTCGGATTGTCAATGTTACTAATAAATGATGTATTAGATGACAACAAAAGATAAAATTAAAAATTTGTACGACCGAATTTAATATAAATTATTAAGGATAACTCAAAAACTACTGGTCAGACCTTGATCAAATTTTACACCTGAAGTATACACCCTTTGAAACAAAAAAAGACTTTTCCAAATCGTTCCAGGCGTCTTCGAGTAATCGGTGAAGAAAAAAAAAGATTCCGACGAATTGAGAACTCGGTTGAGAACTTTATGAAGTCGGTTGAATTGACTTGAATGCAATAGTAGAAGTTATCGAAAATAAATCTATTAAAAACCATAAAGGACGTAGTTATGAAAATACTGAATATGGAATTTTATTCGATAGGAATTATCTATCTTTATATTATAATACTTTTGCAAGAATTTCATCGTTATTTGAATGCATTAAATAGTTTAACAAGTGATTTTCATTCAAAAATAGTCATGAAGGTTATATATATACATATACACACAACATAAACGCACGACGCTCAAATTCTAGGTCAACTAGTTAGAAGCTGGCAAGAAATACTAAAGCTTCCGTGTTATTTAAGCTGTAATTATATTAGTCTAGTCTAGAGTAGATTATCTAACAATAATTCAAATAATTAGAATTGAAGACTACAATCCTTCGATGATACGTTTTTTTTTAACTTATTATAAGCCATTGCTTGACCACAATCTCACCTGGTGGTAAGTGGAGATACAGCCTTTGATGGTAAATCGCACTGTCTTATCGTAACAAAAGCCTATTCACTCTTGCCTTGAAGACGCCCAGATTGTATTCGGACGGAAAGATAGACGCCCGCAAATTATTCCACTCCTTTGCTGTACGCATTACAAAAGACGAAGCAAACCGTTTGGTTTTAATGCGTGAAATATCGACAACAAAGTAATGCGAGTAACTTCCAATTTGTACCTACCTTTCCTTACCCAGAAGCTGAACGTTCTAAAATTTCTTACTAGTACACGAGCAACCCCAGTTCGGTTCTCACGGCAGCACAGAAATTTTTTAGTAGCAGTTTTTATTGACCGATAGCGACATGCACTTCGTTGTTCGCGGTACTTCAAGATTTTTGGCCGGCCTATTGCCACTTTACAGCTTATTAATCCGTTGAGCTATGTCGGTTGCCCTGGCTCTAACGAGGATATCTTCATTACAAATTTCAATATCACACAGGGAAACTCCGAACGAAACTCGGAAACGGTTGAACCGATTTCAAAGATTTTTATTTTATTAAATATGGGCCCACACCTGAAGTATAGGCCTATATTTTAGAAATACACTATAATTTTTCAGTAAGAATTTCACCCCTAAGTGTGGCAAAATAGAGGACAAAAAGTTCTTAGTGTTTCATTTAGACATTTAGTCTTTACCTTGAACTTGTGACATTAAAATTAAAAAAAAAGTTAAATCGACTTCTAAAACAAAAACGAATAATTTTTATACAATAGCTTCTCAAGTCAGAGTTTTAATTCTTCGATACACGTCTTCAGGATGTTGCTGGAGTGCCCCCGTTAATGCCGTATATCAAGTATATCTGATAACGCCCTACATAAATATTTTTTCCACTCTTATTCGCAAAAGAACTGCGTCACTGATGTACTGCACCCCACAATTTAGTGGGAGCGCCAAAAGCATTCTTAATGTTATTAGCGAGAAAGAGTATTTTTGAGTTTTGCGGCACTGGATGCATGAGCATGTCTATGTACGAGTATGTACCCTGTGCGTCGGACAGGCACCGAATCATAGTTCAGATATATGATTATAATATATTTGATTTCGAACGATTACCGATTACTTACGTCTACTGACATGGATTTTAAGTCTTTCATTTGTATCTAATAATAAATTATGTAGGTACTACATGGTCTGCAATAAACGATTTTATAACAGAAACAACCTTTGCACAAATATAAACATGCGCACAATTTCATAGTAATTACATATACATAATAAAACACAATATTCTTATGAGAACAATTCGATCGTAAAAAATAACAATAACGTACAGTGCTTCGCAGAGGCGGTGAGTTTTTTTTTTTATTACAAATAATATACAAGGCCGCAATAAATTATTACAATAATTATTGCTATAATTAATTCCTTTTTTTTTAAATACATTACCTTGTCTGTGTTTCCAGTTCACATTTTAGTATAGCTGATAAATTCACGGCAATTCTATCGCCACCTAAAAGAATTTAACTTTTGGAAAAATTAAAATTCATATTTAATTGTTCGCCTTGCTATAATGTAATATTTGAAAATTCTTATTTTACACTCTAAGATATTTATATGCAGCAAAATGCCAATCATTATTAAGTTTTTGTACCTAACCGCAAACGTGCAGTAATAAATTGAGCGCACAAATTATAGGTCCCTGAGTAAGTTCAGTACATAAGTGCTTAATATTTCGACATGGCGTGGAAACGACGTAATTTTTAATTGGCCAACGATATTAAGGGTATATTTACATGAATCGTATGCTGGAGAAAATCTTTTAGTCTCATGAATTATTATTTATCTGTATAAACTGATAAATATTGTTTTCTTTATTCAGAGTATAATAAGGAACAACATTTGTAATGGACTTTTTAAACCTATGCAAGTACTTTTTTACTTTTGATGTTTTTAGACTGTGACAATATCTTAGTAAATATAATATACTATTAAAATATCAGTACGCATATTTATTACTTTTGATTTTTTAGACTGAAAATATCTTAGTACATAGAATATACTATTGAAATATCAGTTAGCATTATTGTATAAACTCTGTGCCTATATTAAAATTACGTTCCAAGTGTGTTCAATAAACAATGGTATTATACTGTTTGTATTACAGATAATCATAAGAACAAATAAAATAACTGCACGTAGCTACGAACCAATTCAAAGGGAAATTCAACAAGTTAGTGTACAGAAAGGTCACGGTCGCTCGCAGAAGCTGTAGTGGAAAATATTTCGCAGATGCAGCGTGCAATATATGTATAGGTACGTAGTTGTAACGAAAATCCGAACGACGCGACTGTTGTATTACTCGCAAGCAGACAACTTTTTCTATATCATAAAGTGAATACGTATGCATTATAGTATTCTATGGTGAATACGTATATTGATTAATATTAAGAGGTTATCAAAATTCATACAAAAATATATGTGTTAAGTAGGTATCTGAAAATACACTCATTGCTTTAGTATTGCATAAGAATTATTTGGTAATTTTTTGTGAGCGTCCATATATTTACAAAATTATCAACATGCATTCTTCGAATTAGTAAAATCTTTAGTATAGGTACCTACTCGTTATGTGTAAATAGTTTAGTATATATAATATATATAGAAACTATTAAACTAACGAATAAAAAATATTGTTTCAAACGACATTCTAGATCTAGAATTTTGGCGAAAAATTAACGGGCTGTCTGTTAATGCTGACCCCACTAGATGGAATGACGACTTGCTAAGAAATGCAGGAAGTCGATGGATGCACGTGGCTTAGGACCGTGCTTTGTGACTTTCTTTTAGTGGCATATGTTCAGCAGTGGAGTTGAGATGAGCTGTAATGATGATGATGATAATGATGCTCATATTGATTAATAAGAAGTTTAAAACGAGCTGCAAAGCAATTATTGCATAATATATAGATACTAAACATGCAACTAATATAAGTACTAAGTGAGTGCGACTAATAAAAACCACGAACATTTTTTTTTATTTAAATAATAAAACGTTGGCCTAACTTCTAAACTGAACTTAAAACTAAATGAAATTTTAAGATATTTCTTGGTGAGGTGTCACTTTATTAATCACCTTATTTTAAGTAAGTAAAATGCAGCTCTGTTTAAATAAAAGATTAGCCACATGTTCAATATAACGCGAAACATTGTTACACAAACAGAAATTAGGTCGCTCCAACTATATCAGGCGGCTCGGTTTAATTAAATGGTAAACAAAATTAATGTTTATTTGTCTCTGTTTCCGGACTTTGTAGTGTCTCACAACCAGTCGCTCACTTAATATTTTATTGACCAGATTCATTATTTTGGACTTTAGTATTACTCGTGTGGCTTGACTTTACGTATTACTGGACATGTTATTATTCATTCACGCAAAATAGATAAAATAAACTTTCAGATAAAATCAACTTCTTTTGTACTTGCATCGATCATTAATGCTGTGATATCAGAATTTAAAATAATATCAATGTACGAGAGACGTTCGACAAAAAGTGAGAATGATACAAGCTCTTATTTAAACTATTTCCGAGATTGAAGATTTTAAGATTATAAAACGGTAGTCGCTGCAGTACAGGATTTTTTGCGGCTCAGAATGAAGAAATCTTTAGAAAGAGTGTTTTTCGCATAGACAAAAAACATTCCAATAATATTACGCCAGAAAATGATTATGTCGGGCAGTAAAATAAATTTAGGAAAAATTAACTGTAACAAACACATTCTCACTTTTTATTAAACACCGCTAGAACCTAATAATAAAAAAATTAAAAATCATTAACTGGCATTTTTATAACATTTTTATAAAAAAATATGTTTATTATAAACATAGATGGCTTTATGAAATATCACAATTGTTTTAATGGTATGCCAGTTAAAATGATCGGAAAATAAATAAATAATGGTATGGAATACTTGTCTTGTCTTTACTTTACTAACCGCTCCAGGTATCCCCGCCGAGATGAAGAGGGCGAGTGTGTCGGGCCAGGGTAGTAGCTTGTACTGCTCCCACCATCGCTTCACCACCAGGCTTACGTAGAAGCCCAACACGAACGACATCGGTATGGACTCACTCTGGGCGCCGAAGTACTGCCGAACTTTCTCGAATACCCTGAAACATCACCGACATCAATGTTCTCGGTCGAAACTAAATGTCTTATCGTAGCAGATAGCAGCATTGTTCGCATGAGCGTTATTAATTTTATGCGGAAGGCGTATTACGGAAGGCCGCACAAGAATCTAAGGCGTTATGTAATTATGGTGCAATTCCATTTTCATAATTATGCGGAGGAATTATCACTAAATCTATTATTCTGAAAATTATGAAATTAATCGAAAAACGGTAACACGTTTGCCAATTCTTTTATAAAACTAACATTTTGCAATTAGCTAATAGTAGCAAAGCTATTCGTTCATCTTCTTCATCTTGATTAACCCTTAAAAATCCACTGCTGAAGATGGAAACGATTTTTTGAGAATTATTTTTAACCCACAACCAAAAAATTTTGCATCATTAAAAAGTTACCAAACTAAATGAAAAATCATTTAAGTAAATGAATGAGATAAGGATACGCATAACTTATATATCATATGAGGTTCTTTGTCGTAAAAACAGCCAAAGCATAAATTATATATTTTTTTATAAAACAACACTCGTCATCTTTACTCTTGATAATGACATCAGTTTAAATTCTTTTTGTCGAAGTAAATGTCAAATGTACATCGCAGTATTTGTAAAAAATTCAATGAAAGAGAAGTATTATATTTATTTTCATTATATTTATATTTATTTGGCCTTATTTAAATAAACACGACCGGCGACTTTATTTCTAAATGGCCAGTTATTTACTGAAGAGGAAGGTATACCGTGGGGTCATTTAAGGATACTCGATTTTTAAGGCAAGACCACTGGGGAATTTCTTTATTTGAAAATTTAGACATGGCCAGCCAGTGTTCTTTTATTGACTTGTAGTATTTTAGAACAATTAATCTAGTAACCTAAATCTGATTACTCTGTTATTTTTTTTTTTGGAGTTTATGGCCTGGCATCTAGACCTTTAGGCCAATTACTCTGTGTTAGTTATTAAACTAACACAGACTAATCAGATTTAGGTTAGTTACGCATGTTACTAAGTACTTAAGATTCGATCTGTAGGTAATATATAAAGAGACGAATTATTTATCATCCTTTCTACCAATTAAGAGAGTAAAGAGAGGACTCTTTTCGTATTATTGTTCTTCGATCAATGTTCGATTGTAGTCTATATAAATGTCAACAATAAGTTATAAAAAACCTTTAAGGCTTATTAACGGGAGTAGAAGCATTAATGTGTGTACAAATAAAACGAAAGTAAATTTATTTCTTGCGATTTGCTACAAAACCAATAGCCTTCGTAGTGTTGCCTTTAAAATATTTTAAAATCAAAACTTCCTACAAAAAACCTAAGCTAGAAGGCTAATGTGTAAAAACAATTTTAATTAAAAGTTCCGGCAGTCATAACATTTTGAATCAACAAACAAAATTATTGTATTAATTAAAAAATGTAAAATTACATATGATTATTTAGAAGTTAAGTACTATAGAGCACCTTAATGCAACTTGATGATATGTGTTCTTAATCTATTTACTGAATTTCAAAGGTATGCTGATGGAAATTTTTTACAAGTTTTCAACACTAATTATACTTTGCTTTTTGCTATATCATATTAAATTACATGCACCGGTTTTTCCTGAAGTCTTTAATTTAAAATTCATTCAATTTCTTTACGTTGTTTAAAAGTATGTAAAGTATGAATCTTTTATGCGCCTTTGGTTCGTTCGAAACAAGAGTGCTCAGTTTTAATAGTGTATTGGCCTTACACTAATTTGTATCCATGAAATCAATTCCGTGAACCGTGTAGTGGCGGTTTAAGAATACCTACATCGTCCCGTGGGTGTCGTAAGAGGCGACAGAGGGAAACTAAAACAGGAGATGGGCAGCAGCATATTCCTGATAACAACTTTATAAAAATAAAGAAACTGGCATAAAATGGCAAAATCCCCCTATGAGGCAATCTATAGATAAGGCCTATGTGCAGCAGTGGACTTTTATAGCCTGTATAGACAAGAGAAATCAATTAAGTTTGTATAGTAGCGTTACAATGATTGGCTATGTTAGCAGGTATGGCAAAATCCCCCTATGAGGCAATCTATAGATAAGGCCTATGTGCAGCAGTGGACTTTTATAGCCTGTATAGACAAGAGAAATCAATTAAGTTTGTATAGTAGCGTTACAATGATTGGCTATGTTAGCAGGTATGGCAAAATCCCCCTATGAGGCAATCTATAGATAAGGCCTATGTGCAGCAGTGGACTTTTATAGCCTGTATAGACAAGAGAAATCAATTAAGTTTGTATAGTAGCGTTACAATGATTGGCTATGTTAGCAGGTATGGCAAAATCCCCCTATGAGGCAATCTATAGATAAGGCCTATGTGCAGCAGTGGACTTTTATAGCCTGTATAGACAAGAGAAATCAATTAAGTTTGTATAGTAGCGTTACAATGATTGGCTATGTTAGCAGGTATGGCAAAATCCCCCTATGAGGCAATCTATAGATAAGGCCTATGTGCAGCAGTGGACTTTTATAGCCTGTATAGACAAGAGAAATCAATTAAGTTTGTATAGTAGCGTTACAATGATTGGCTATGTTAGCAGGTATGGCAAAATCCCCCAATGATGCAATCTATGGATAAGGCTTATGTTCAGCAGTGGATTTTTATAGGCTGTATAGATAAAATCAATTCAGTGTGTATAACAGCTTTACAATGATTGGCTGTGTTAGCTGTATGCTGTATGTTACTGTATTTTTACGGGATAGCTTCACCTCAACAATCAAAATCAAATAATCCCCATAGTATAAAAATTACTCTCTAAGGAAATAAATAAAGATTCTTTTATTTGGTTCCAAATATAACAAGGTTATATAGTTCCGCGGCTGTGCCACTCTGAGAGAGACTACTTAAAATATTGTACATAGGAAGTTTTGCTTCTTGAAGACCTTAATTTATTTTTGAATGTAAATATTACTACACTCAAAGATATTTAAAAAGTTGCTAGCTATATCTGGGAATCGAATCGGAATAAATTTTCAGAAATACGAAAAGAAACCATAGGAAAAAGCATTATAATTTATTTTAAATAAACTCAAATGTAAAATTTCCCGGTGTTCCATGATTTTAAGAGAGAAATTAATTCTTATAATTGAAATGTTCTTTTGTATCGGTATTGTAAAAATAGAACATTTTTTTGTACATTTGGTCGATTCGATTCTCAGATGTAAAAAAGTAAAGTTGCAGCCTATTTACGTCCCACAGCTGGGCACAGGCCTCCTCTCATTTCTGAGAGGGTTTCAGGGCAAGGAAATGTCTGCCGCGCTGCCCCAATGCGTATTGACGAACTTCACATGTCGTCGAAATATTTTTTTTTTCTTATATCTCAGACATGCAGGTTTCGTCACGATGTTTTGCTTCACTGCCGAGCACGTGGTAAATCAGCACTTAAAGTTGCAATTAACAATTTCATTGGTGCCGGCGGGGATCGAACCCGGGTTGCTCGAGTACTGTGAAGCTTACAGCGAGCGCTAACCACCATTCGCTAATCATCATTCTCAGATGTGGCAGGCAATTTTTTTAAAAATCTTGCCATACAGTATTACTTACTTTTAAGAATAAAACAAATGATCTATAAAACAAAATTTCCTTTCTGCAATATCTAAAGTACTTTCCTCTTGTGGCATAACAAACCATATAAGGGCTTATGATAGGAAAATATCCTAATGTCTAGGGTCGCCGTCAACGAAATCGATGAGGAGGACTATATATCTATACTTTCCTCTTGTGGCATAACTGTGGGACGGCCTATATAATGCGTAGTAGCCGGATATTAGGTATATCCTGCAAAAATATATACGATAAATTTATATAATCAAAATACTTGAAAAAATCCTGATGACATATCGTCCCGTGGGAAAAGAGCAGCAGCATATTTCGGATAACAGCAAACATACAAAAAAAACTGCGGCTGCCAACACGCTCGCCAAGCCTGTCCTATGGCAATATATGTGGCGAGAGTTACAAAGAAACGGGCCCCAGTAGATTAAAATAGAATATAATGACAATAGAATATTATTTATTCAATATAGATTACATGTAATTCTTATTGAAAGTCATTGTTATTTTTACCACTGGTTCGAAAAAAAACTATGTCCTGGGAAGAACCAGTAATAAAACCAGACTTTTTTTTTCATAGTAAATTATACAATATGATAGGTTGTAGAAATTGTTTACAAAATTTATTTTAGAAACAGCTTGGAAGGGACCACCTCATTTGAAGGGGTTGCAACCATGTATTTATTTATATTATAATAACCCTTTTTACACAGTGTTTGTTTAATAAAATATTTAAACTTACTAATATAGAGACTTTATTGTAATAGCGTATACATTGCCCCATGAATGAATTAATGACTCTGTGAAGTCGAGAAACTAGTATGACTAGCTTGTGTTTGTTTCTACTGTAATTTGTTCATGGTGTATATAACTTTTTTATTGAAACTACTGTTTTTTGTGAACATACATTAAATTTACGTAAATGTACTGAGCGGCCAAATTTAATATATTTATTTCTTTAAAAAAATTCTGAGAGACTCTTTCGGTTTAAGGTTGTATAAAGCACAAAGTGCCTTTTTCGGCAAAAAAAAATCATTTGAAAATCAGCCACATTTCCCCATAGCAAAATCCCATAAGACATTATAATATGGGAATAACTGAAATAAACTAATCTAGCTGTCTCGACACTAGTGAGACGTCCAATCCTTTTTACAGCATGAGCTTAGTCTACTTAGCAGTTAAGATATATGACGGCACCACTGAAACTTTGCGTCGAGAATGATATCAAGAAAAATAGGGGATCCCACAGGGCTTAGTTAATTTAAAAACACATTGGATCAAATTTTTAACATTTGGAGTTGTAAATTTTATACATTTAGTTTTATTGACGTTTAAATGTAATTTCTTAGCGTTAAACCAATACCCTAATTTTGATGTAGCATTATTCACTTCGTCACATTT